CCAGGATCCCTGCTGCTCAATCCGGGCGCACAAGGGCACAGCAGGCAGTGCCCTTTGCCGAGACGAGGCTGGGAAGGAAGCGGCCCTGCTCCCACGCCTCCCGGCGGGGCTGGCAGTTGGCCAAGAACCACGCTTTTTCCCCCACAAATCGCGGGTGCAAAGCGAGGGGCACCGCTGCGGTCTGATGGCCAGAGGGCATCACGGCAGCGCACGAGGCTGCGCTCCACGGAAAAGCAACGGAGCGCCCGTGTTTGAGAGCTGCCGCTGCGGGTTCCCCGCGCCTCAGAGGGAGCGGCGCTCGCGGGAGCGCTCCGCTCCGGACGCCGTCGCCGCAGGGATGGCGAGCGCCGGAATGCCGGGAACGGCTATTCCTGTCCACGCGCCCCAGCACCGAGGGGCAGGCACAAAGGTGCCACCGCTCGGGGACCTTCACAAACAGAAGCAGCTAAATTTAGACGGGGGGAGGAGGCAGCTGCGGTTTTGGTGACCCTTTGCTTTGCAAACTGTGGATAAGACCCGGGAGCAGGATAAACTAATCCCGCCTTTCACACGACAGTTCCTTTTGAGATCTCATCGTCATCAAAATTCATTGTCATCTGGGTTTTAATTTTAAGCAACTGCATATCTCCGTTACACTTCATTACAAGTTTGTTTTTCTCAATTCAGTGGTATATGGTAACACGGCTTTATATATCATAGTAGAACATGTAGGCACGCAGCAACTCCTACCCTGTCCACCAGCACGGGAGTGAAGAGCTCCTGCCATAAGATGGTTACCCTGCTAAACTACCCCCAGAATGGCAAATCTGGACATTTATTGCCACCTCTGTGAACCGAATCAACTCTGAGAAAGTAATTTAATATCTCTGGCTTGCGTTCAGCACAAGCAGCACCCCCAGGTCGTGGACTTACAACTGAAACTATGCATAATGTGTTTCGGGTGATCAGATGGATATTAACCCATAACAAGAGCTGAAGATTCGAAATTCCTTAGACATCTCCCTCTCCTGAAGAGTACTGTAACCTTCTGCTGCATTGGAGAGGTTGGTAAATAAAGCTGGTTTGAGATATGCTGAAAGCTGCTAAATTACTCTTCCCCACAGCGCTCGATTTAATCTTTTCATTTACTTCTGCTGAGGAGAACTCGTTTTTTCTAAAAATACCCCTGCAAGATTTACTAAACCAGACAGATTTAAACACGAACTTTCCCTCACAGATGCATGCGGATCGCTAAGGAGAAGCAGCCGTCAGCTCTGAGAAAGGCTGCACGTGGAAACAAGCAGCGACCCCTCATGCCCATATTTTGGGTCCCTCTCCATGGGTTTGGTGCTGGATATGGGTAGAATCACGGCATGGGGGGCGCACAGAGGCCATGTGGGTCCATAGTGGAGAGAGGCACTCACCAGCCCACCAGGGTCACAAGGGGGTAGCTCTGGACAGCCTGGGTCGGGCTGCCAAGGGCAGGACAGACCCTCGTGCAGCGCGCGTGGCGCAGCGCCTGCGGCCGCCCTACCTCTCTTTTCTCCCGTGAAAGGGACCAGGTCTTCTCTGTCCTCGATGTCCTTCGCCTGCTTCTCCAGGTGGGCCATGAGCTCCTCCCTCCTGAACGGGCCGGTCGGCAGCTTCTGGGTCTGGTCCCGCTGGCGGTGCCCGGCCGGGAGCAGCGCGTTCTGGGCGCAGCGGGGAGAGACGCGCGTCGGTTCCCGCAGAGCGTCGCCCGCTCCGCGCTCCCGCCCTCCGCCTTCCCCGCGGAGCTGTTCTCC